TAACTCTTGACCTTGAGAAAGTAATTTAACCTGTTAACCTCTTTGAGTCAGTTTTTTCTTGAGTCAAAAATGTGTTCTAATTCACCAATATTAATTTGAAGTAGCTTAAGTTAAATATTCCTAGGACTGCACAAGCTCACTGGACAAGACAGATCAAAATAAAGGTTTCTGAATGACCTTTACAAAACCTAAAATTAAACCATGTTAGCTGTTTCCACTGATAAATTTCTACAATTTTTGTTCTGAGTTATTTGAATTAATACAGAGTGGAAGTGGCTGTAGTCATTTTTGCTGTTCTTACTGCATCAAGTATCAGTGACACAACCCACTCTTCAACTTTTAATTAGTGTAGCACTGTTTTTGTATGTGTTTGGAGGGGGTAATTCATCATTTATTAAACAAATATTCATTGAGTACCTTTTAACCAGGTATTTGTCCAGGCCTTTTAGTGAATTGCAGGAGGGAAGAAAAACAGGCATAACTGAAAAATAGTTTTCTTGTTTTAACTATTCTGTGTAATCTCTCTCTCTCTTGCTTTATTAGTAGATCACGGAGATTTTAGACCACCTATGTTATGGTAACACTCAAAGAAAACTCTCCCATGGTTAATATTTCCACTTACTTTTAAAAATAAAAGAAAAATGCCTACATTTTTCATTTGTCCAGAAAATGTTGGGGGGGATGAATGCAAAGTGCTTCCATTCAATCTTTCTAAAGACAATACACTGGAAACATTTTGGTGGGTGTGAATCACTCAGACAAGCATTCTTCACTCAAAAATAGAAACTTGCCTTATTTGTTCCAGATGTTATACAGCTGCAGGGAAGTTAAAGCCAGTGGCCCTGTTTTCAATGCAACCAAACTCTTATTGCATCTGGAATTTCTTAACTGATGAACTTATATTACTTGTCCTAAGACCTGAGCAATTTTTTTCCCCACTGTTACCTCACAAACAACTATGTTTCATGGAAACCATGTTCTACAATTTATGAGTCTACTTCTGTGTTGTACAAAGAAAACACATCCTGTTTATCACTATTTCCACCTTTTATTTATCTTTTCCACTTAAGCATCAAGGATGCCCAAGGCATTTGACTGCTAACCAGAAGGTTGGTGGCTCAAACCCACCAGCCACTCCTTGGAAGGAATATTGGGCAATCTATTTCTGTAATGATACTGCCTCAGAAACCCAAGGAGGGATTGCTATGAGTCAGAGATGACTCAATGGCACATAACAACAACAACAACAACATTTAAAGCAAAGTGAAAAATAAAGTAAAATTGTATTGTTTTTATAATATTTTTACACCATCTTAAATATGGAGTTTTATGGTGATATGCATCTTAGGAGGAATTTCAAGAAATTTTATTAAGAAAAATAATGAGTATAAAATATAATTCTTATCATTATACATTGGTAGATTTTTTTAAAAAAATACACGTTAGCTTATTTCTTGATTTTCCTGAAGATCTAAGAGTCCTTATGTTGTATATATGAAAAATGAAGGGGTCATGGATCTTTGATGTGGGTTAATGAGTTAAAAATTATGTAAAAGAGAAGCACGCTAGTTATGCATCTAGTCTATAAAATGCAAGTGTTATTTTATTTATGTTTAAGAATGAAATGGCAAAGTTCTTGAGATTGGTCTTTTTATAGAGAAGTGTTTTTCAAAATGTGGTTTATGGACAATCTGTACAGACTTACACAGGCTGATAATCAAAAAAACCTATTTCTGGGCCCAATTGAATCAGAATCTCTGTGCATTGAGTCTGAGACTTGAGAGGGACCCTAGATATCAGAAACAAAGAACAAAAAAACTAATTTTCCAGTAGTGAGTGTTAAAGTCCAGGGAAGACAAGTGAACTTCTCAAATACACGCACCCAGTAAAGCAAGGTTTAGAACCTTGTTTACTGATACTGAGAAACACATATTTTCCAATGAGTCTGGTAAAAATTTTTATCTTCAAAAGCTAATATTAAAATAAGATTTAAAGAAATATAAGTATGAAAATATCATCAGGTGTCTCATCCATTAGTTCGTTTATTTGTTACTCAGTCACTCAATCTGCTCTTTTTCCATCTTTTCCTTCAAATTCTGTCATTACTCTTTTTTTTTTTAATTATAATCAAAATCTTCCAGGAACAAAAAGAAGGAAACATTATATTTTAGTGTATTGTTCACTAAGCCCTTGAAATGTCATGACTGATTATGTTTGAACTGAGGGTTTTAGTTAAGGTTGTTTGAACCATGTTCAAGTAACAATTTGCATTCAATAAGGATTCCCCAAAGACCAGAAAATCTAAAATTCATGATGTACATTATTTGAAGTATGTATATGTTATTAGTTCAAATAAAGATCTAAAATAGTTGAAGTGTAATTTCAATCATAAACTGATTTACACATCTTAAGGAAGCTATTAGGGGGCCTGGTGGTACAGTGATTAAAGTACTCAGCTGCTAACAAAAAGGTCAATGGTTTGAACCTACCAGCTTCTCCACAGGAGAAAGATGTATCAGTCTGCTTCTGTAAAGATTTACAGCCTTGAAAACCTTAAAGGGCAGTTCCACTCTGTCTATAGGTTCACTGAGTCAGAATCACCTCAAAGGCAGTGGGTTTGATTTGGGTTAATGAAGTTATTAATAATTTTATATATTTTTCATATATATAATTTTGTCTTCTAAAAGGAAAATAGTCTGTGAATGGCTCTTACTAAGCTTTCTGTACTTTGCTTCAAATGATCGATCACATATTGCGACTCATTTATGATAAGTAAGGGCCACCACTAGAGAGATGGTGTACTGGCAAACTTCTCTACTATTACCAGATAAATAAAAAATATAGCAGTAAAGATTTTCTGGTCCAATCCTTTCATTTTATTAATAAGAACCTGAGAACCCAAGTGTTATCTGAAGAAGGTAGGATTGTGTTAGAAACTGTTAGTTGTCTACCCAATTTACTTTCTCTCTTTCCAGAAACCCCCATTTTTAGCGGGATGCATGACCACCTGAATAAAGATTGCATTACTCAACCTATATAAATCATATAGCTAAATATGAACATATAATTAAGTTTTCAAAATGGCAAACATTTGTATGTTAGCTTTTGTGAAGTCCCATAATCCTTTCAAGACCAAATTATTTTCTGCTTTGAATTTTTTGTCAAAACTGTGTATTCTCAGTAATAGAAGGCATTTTGAATTAAAAAAAAAAATGGGGTGGTAAAATGCATTTTTATACAGTTAGTGGGACACATATGTCCTGAGGAGATTTTGGTTCTGGGATTGGTGGAATGACGCCCTTTTCTTCAGATTTGTGCAGTTATACAGGCCCCAAACAGATGGCAGCATGCAGTAGAAGTGGGATAGTCACTTCCCACTAAACCTCAGAGGTGGAAAATGTAGGTAGTCACTATATGTACCATGGGTCCCAAAAGGGGTAAAATGTAGTAAGAAAATGTTCTCTGTGCCCTTTTACCCCACACTATACATTCTGTTTGCAATATGGTTGTTTTGACTAGAGATCTAATATAGTTCATGATGATGAGGGCAATCTGGACCCAGTCGACTATAGAGCTGCCCTACCAATATTAGACTGCTAATATCAAGACTTACAGGTGGGAGAGGAAGAAGCTTCTACCCTGTGTAAGCCACTGTCTGGGGGTTTCTAATATCTGTAGCTGAATCTCACTGAAGATAATAATCCATTTCCTACTATGGAATTTCATTCATTCATTCTTTTTTTTTTTTTTTTTTAGGATTTGGGTGAAGATTTACAGAGTAAATTCACTTTTCATACAGCAGTTCACATATACTTTGTCTCATGTCATTGACCAAAATTTACAATGCAGCAGCTCCCCTCCCACTTCCTCCCCATAGTTACCTCCTCCCAGTGTCCATCCCTTCATACACTTCTGTACCCTGAGCTATCTCCCTGTGCATAAGCAGCCCTTCCTTCTCCCATGATTGTTCTCTCCAGGGCATGTGTCTACTTGAGGTAAATGTTTAACTCACATGCCTGTACTTTGTTTGGCTGGAAACCACAGTTGTGGGTTCAATTCCAGACCTGAAGGGCAGCTAGGGGCCATAGTCTCAGTGGTTACACCAGGCTCTATTGGACCAGCAAACCTGGTCCCCACTTATTCATTCATTCTTTGAACACATAGTTACTGTGTTCAAAGTTATACATAGTTTTTGTGTTCATAGTTATTGAACACTCTACAAGTAACGAGGTATACATAATCAATATTAAAAAAAAATAAATATTTTGGAGGGAAATTTTTTAGAGCTTTCCTCCTTTTTTCCTTTGGTCTATTCCTGTCCTTACTCCAAGTGTATTTCACAATTTCTATTTCTTTCACTGTAAAGAATTGTTGTTGTTGTTGTTGTTGTGGATTTCAGACCTATGCTCTCAAATACATTACATATTTCTCAAGAGTTGAAATAAAAAAATGAAGCAACACAACTCCATAATGTAACAACTTTAAGCAAAGTTTCAACTTTTATCCCCAAACATACAGTAAGTCATGATTATAATTAATCACCACATGCAAATGAAATCTTAAAAATATGTAAGATATAAATATTTGTCCTTGAGAAAAATTGAAATGTCATGGGGTATGTCTTTAAAATATTTAAATAAAATGTATTTTAAGTCAGATTACCCCCCCACCCCCAAATGGTTCACTTCCCCATTCAGAAATTGACTAGGATTTTCCTAAGATCAGAGCAAACAGATGTATTACCAACTGTCTCCCTGATCTAATTCCGCTCCTAGGCATGAAGAATGTTTCTTCTTATGAATTCCATTTAAATTACCCCAAAACTCTTCCTTATTAATTCCTTATAGTTTATTAAGGTTTGGATTTGTTAAGGTAATACATTTTTTACATTTTCAAAAGAATTTAAACAAAATTAAGGGTGTCAAATATTTAATATATTTTTGAATAATGGTAGAATACAATATTTTTTTAAGAGTTTATAAATGAAGAAGAAAAATTACCTTGGGGTCCACATTAAGAATTTTTCTGTCTCTTTTGTATTTGAAAAGTAAGCCTTCTGGATTATCAGTAATCACTTGATAATTGGGACTTGGATTCCAAACAGCAACATGACTGTCCCAGTTGTAAAAGCTATAAAATGAATATTTATAAAGAATTAATAAATATAATTCATTAAATTCACAAATATATTTTTGGCAGTCCAGTCTCAAGGTAAATGGATGGTGAGTCAGTCCATATGACCATGTAGGACACATCTGAGATTAAAATTTCTGCAGAAGGGATTAGTCTGGGTTATTCCCAAAGAATTCATATGCATATTTATCTTTATTTTGCATAATTTCTTGGTATGGAAACTCTAGGACTCTAGGGCCTATTCTAGTATTATATTCCCCAGGAAGTTGTGAAAAAAAATGATGCAATTTAAGGCAATTTGTTCTAGTTGAGACACCTCAGGGCATTAAGAGTAGCTATGCACTGGAAGGAAGGGTAAGTTAAATCACCTTTTTTAATTCACAACAATTTCAAATTAGTTTCATTCTTGCAGGCTCTATTTTTCAAGAATATATTTCCTTGGGGGAGAAGAAATGGTCTGTGTTTGAATAGTTACCATAGACCATGCTTGATGTGTTCTATCACAATCATCAAATGAAAGTGCTCTCATTTCTTAAACAAGAAGAAAGGAGGCTTAGGAAGGTCAGTTAGCATGGCTAAGATCCTGCAACCAGAAAGTCCTAGGATTCAGGTTCAAACCCAGATCTGTTTCTTCAAAGCAAAAGCATGCTCTTCTACTATTTTACATTGCCTCCTCATATATTATACATCATTTGTTGTTTGTCTTCTGTGGTAACTTTCTATTTTTAAGCTTGCATCTTTGCATGAGACATATATTTAAGCACTCAGCTATTAATCAAAAGGTTGATGTTTTAAATTCACTCAGCAATGCCTTGGAAGAAGACCTGGTATCCTGTTTCCAAAAATCATAGCCATGGAAGTGCAGTTCTCCTAAGGAATACTGATCTATTCTGGAGTCACTGTGAGTTGGAAAAAACTCTGTAGGTACTGATTTTTGGTTTATTTTACACCTATTTGTGAAAACTGATGATAATATTGTCATGTGAATTTGCAGCATCCTCAATATACTTACTATTCCATATCTTATTCCTGTTAACACATTTCTAATATTATATTTGCTTTTAAAACAACAATCAAAGAAATGACTTATATATAGCTTATGATCCAGTATGCATCTAAATTTTTTTTAATACAGCATGTCTCTGACTTAGGACAGGGTTCTGTTGTAATGACTACATTGTAAGTTGATTCTCTCTTCTTAGTTATCATTATTAATATTTTTTACTATCAATAACTTTATAAATCTGATCTTTGAACATCCGTGAGAGAACACCTGGGAAGAAATAACATCAGCTAATTACACAGAGCAACATTGTATGCAGTACATATTACTAATCGTAAGAGGTAAAAAAAAAAAAAGATGGTTGGTTCATAATTGTATGTCATAATTCAGGGACTCCTGTATTTATTTAACTCAGTTTTCCTCTTTCTGCTTTGTTTTGCTCTTTATTGCTCTACTTCCTCCTTTTGAAATAGTAGATTTTATTAACTAAACTCACTCTGAATTTTATTGATGTTTTCTAAGGCATTAATATTCCCTTATGTCTTGCAGTTATCTAAAAAAGTATGTTTACCCTCGATTTTTTATTACTGAGAACAGACTGAACATAGATCATAATATTTATATTGCTAGGTCAGGGACACACTAGTAAGAACTATTCCCTTTCTTCCCTTTTCATACTTTCTCTGGCTATTCTAGGAATGTCTGCCTTTCTGAGGCATGGAGTTAGAAAAAGTGTTTTTTCAACCATCTTTGCTTGTATAGTCAGTCCACTCCAAGAATGCAGGAGAGGAGCTGAGCATTCATGGTCTATTCTTTTCTGGGTCCACTCTTTAGTTGGACTTTCAAAGTGAAGTTTATCTTCCCAGGAGATAGGCTGGAGGGGCAACATTATGAAGTACTGGTAATAAATTCAATCCAGTGGGGAAGGTATTAGGAACCACTTTGACTATGCACCCAAGCTGGGTCATTCTATTCAGTTTAATCCACAATAATGAAGATCACATGGCCTCCATCTTACTGTTTGGTTAGAATATTGCTAAACTGGAATGAGAGAGGGACATGGGTATGATTATTAACCTTACATATATGTTTAAGTAATTGTCTATGAGATACACAGATACAGATAATCCCAGTAAAATCCCTGAGTCATAGCTCCTAGAGGAGCATTATTTGTATCACACATTCCTATCTTGTTGTTCAGACCTAAAATTAAAAAATGTATTGAAAAAAATATATTTTTTATAAAATGAAGGTAATTTGTATGCCACATGTACTTTTCATGAGGCAATTCAGGTTGTTTTTTAGTACTTGTTTTCCTCCTAGGCAGGGATGGGAACAAGGGCTCATTTCACATGCCAATTCTGATTGCTATTGTTATTGTCACATGCCTTCAAGTCAGTTCCTACTCATAACAACTCCATGTACAGTAGAACGAAACACTGCCTGGTCTTGTGCTGTCCTCCCGATTATTGCTACACTTGAATCCATTGCTGCAGCCACTGTGTCAATCCTTCTCATTGAGGGTCTTCCTCCTTTTCACTGACCCTCTATTTTACCAATCATGTGTCCTTCTGCTGAGACTGGTCCCTCCTGATAACATGTCCAAGGTATATGAGCTAAAGATATGCCATTCTTGCTTCTAAGGAGCATTCTGGCTGTACTTCTTCCAAGACAGATGTTAGTTCTTCTGGCAGTCCATGGCATATTCAATATTCTTTGTCAATACCATAATTCAAAGCCATCAAATTATATCCTGTCTTCCTTATTCACTGTTCAGCTTTCACATGCATATGAGGTAATTGAAAATATCACGTCTTGGATTAGGCACACCTTTGTCTTCAAAGTGACAACTTTACATTTTAACATTTTAGAGCTGTCTTTTGCAGCAGATTTGTCCAATGCAATGAGTCATTTGATTTCTTGATTTCTGCTTCCACGGGTGTTGACTGTGGATCCCAGTAAAATGAAATCCATGACAAATTCAGTTTTTTCTCAGTTTATCATGATGTTGTTTATTAATCTAGTTGTGAAGATTTTCATTTTCTTTATGTTCACCTGTAATCATATTGAAGTCTTTGAACTTCACCAGTAAGTGCTTCAAGTCCTCTTAACTTTCAGTAAGAAAGGCTATGTTATCTACATATTTTGGGTTGTTAATGAGGCGTCCTCCAAAAATTATAGCAAGGACAGCTGCTCACATTCTTCCTCATATAGTCCAGCTTCTTGGATTCTTCGCTCAGCATACAGATTGAATAAGTATAGTGAAAGGATACATCCCTATCACACATTTTCCTCATTTTAAACCATGCAGTATCTCCTTGTTCTGTTCAAACAACTGCCTCTTGGGCTATATACAGTTTCTGTGTGAGTTTAAGTGTTCTAGAATTTCCACTCTTCCCAATATTATCTTTGATTTGTTATGATCCACATAGTCTAATACCTTTGCATAGTCAGCAAAACACAGATAAACATCATTCTAGTATTCTCTTTTTGCAGCCAAGATCTATGTGATATTAGCAATGATATTCTTCCTTCCTTGCCCTCTTTTGAATTGGCTTGCAGTTCTGGCAGTTGCTTGTTGATATACGTCTATGATCATTTTTGAATTATCTTCAGCAAAATTCTACCTGCATGTGATGTTAATAATAGTATTCAATAATTTCCACATTCTATAGGATCACCTTTCTTTGGAATGGGCACAAATATGGATCTCTTCCAGTTGGTTTACCAGGTAGCTGTTTCCAAATTTCTTACCAATTCTGATAACACAATACAACCACTGCCATGGAGTCAGATCTGACTCATAGTGACCCCTTCTTGGGTTTCCAAGGCAGTATCACTACAGAAGTAGATTGCCCAAACTTCCTTCCAATAGGTAATAATAATTATTGTTAATAAAGAGAACTAACATTCATTTAATTGTTACCATGTACCAGGTTCTGTTGTGAACCTGTTGTTGTTGTTGTTATGTGCCATGGAGTCTGACCTGACTCATAGTGACCCCTCCTTGGGTTTTCAAGGCAGTATTACTGCGGAAGTAGATTGCCCAGCCTTCCTTTTGAAGAGTGGCTGGTGCGTTTGAACCGCCAGCCTTCTGGAACCTAATGAATCTGTTTTCTCATTTAATCTTGTCACCAACTCCATAAAGTAGATATAAAATTATTCTGTTTTGTATATGCAAAGCTGACTGGGAAATGGCATCATTTGGATTCTCACATGACGAGCCTTCCTTTTGAATAGTGGCTGGTGCGTTTGAACCGCCAGCCTTCTGGAACCTAATGAATCTATTTTCTCATTTAATCTTGTCACCAACTCCATAAAGTAGATATAAAATTATTCTGTTTTGTATATGCAAAGCTGACTGGGAAATGGCATCATTTGGATTCTCACATGACGAGCCTAACTTCAGAGCCTGCTCAGTCAAACACATGTGTTTTCCCCATGATTTACCATGACATCTAGGTGGTTTAGGAAAGGAAGACATAAATTACACATACAACCTCAAGGACTATAACATAAATGTGGGTCATTAATTGCCACAGAACTACGTGTCAACTACTTCTTCATGCAATCATTTGTGATGGTTCTTTTATTATACACCGTCAAGAACGTAATAGTATCTGTTTCTAGCCTTTCTTTTCTGTTGTATTAATTGGTGGTGGCTGACTGAACATTATAGCAATGACAGCTTCTCACCCAAATGCAAATTTTCAACTTGTTCTTGGCCATATCTCAAAACTACAACTCAAGTTTTCCTTGCATTGTAGCTCTGTGACAGAGTTTTAGCCAATGGAATATGATGAGAAGTGATATATGTTACTTGTAGCTCAGGCCTATAAAAATCTATTTTCTTTTCCCTAGCCAGTCAATTGGAATGAAGATGAAAATCTTGGAATGTGTTGAGCATATTTGGAGTTTTGTGAAACATGAGAACAAAAGAGTTGAGGTCACTGAGAAGACACTGATTTAAGTGATTTACATCTAGGTGGTTTAG